TTCGTATTTCACAGTTGGCGTGGTATACGAATAAGTGGTTTTTTGTGCTGGTTTCGTAGGTTGTGGATATGATGGACTAGGGTTTTGCGGTGTTTGCTTGGTTGGATATTCAAATTTGACTGCTGGAGTAGGATAGGAGTAAGTCGTCCTCTCTGGTGCTTTAGCAGGTTGAGTATATGTGTACTGAGTTTTCGGTGGCGTTGACTTCGTTGCCAATTCGAATTTCACAGTCGGCGTAGTATAAGCGTACGCTGGTTTTTGTGGTGATTTCGTGGGTTGTGAATAAAATGGGTTGAATTTTTGCGTTGTTTGCTTGGTGGGAAATTCAAAGTTCACTGCTTGTGCTGGGTACGAAAAACCCTTTTCCGTCGACTTTTTTGTAGTTGGATAAACATATTCAGGCTTTTGTGGTGTAGGCTTATCTAAATTTATGTGTGGTGTTTTACCAAGTACAGGAGAGAACTGACTAGATTTTGGAGATGTTATTTTAGTGTCGTGTGTTGTATAATAAAAATTTGTGACTTTAGATGAGCTCGTTGGTTGCTGTGTTTGTGGAGCTGGTTTGGTAGATGTTGTTGGATATGAATAGGTTGGTTTGTTGGAAGGAGTATACAAATGTTGGAATTTTTTTGGCGTTGTTGAAGCTGATGTAGTGGCAGTAGTATAAACGTTCGTAGGCAGTGTTGGTGACGATGGTAAAGTTTTAGTAGTTTTCGGAGTGTATTCAAAAATCACATTAGGTTTAGGATACAAGTAACCTTGAGTGAAGTTATTTGAAGTAGAGTAAGATGGCTGTTGAGGTGTTGAAAAGCCAAAAGACGGTATCGTTAGATCTGGTGGCCTTGTTGGTTTCTCATACGTGTAACCGTTATGCTGGGGATATTCAAGTTTCAATTCCGGCTTTGGATAAGCATAACCACTCTCCGGATGACCTGGTATAAGATAATTCGAGATAGGGGCATAAAAATATTGTGCCCATGTCTGTGTCGCAAGCGTCAAGAATAACCACAGAATGGGGTATGGAATCTAAAAAAAGAAGAGATTAAAAACAAACAAGTAAGAAAATTATAATCGGTCGTGACCGAATCTTTCATACCCATCACCGTTTCCCAAATAAGACCAAAAAAGCCAAATAATTGAATTTAGTTTAATAAAGATGCTTGTCGCATAGGCGTGTGAGTGTTGTAGGCGTGACTTTGTAAAAGCTTCAGTCCCTTCCAAATGTTCTTGCAAATTTGTAGACGATTTATTCATTTTCACTAACAGGCGAATGTTTATCACAAATACTACACAGTTGCGCAGAAAGACAAATTGGCAGAGGAACAGACGGATGGGTTTTTGAAGCTTATTTCTACACCTTATAAAGATATTAAAAAAATATATATATATTTTATTACATTACAATATTAAGTAGACGTGTTCAATTTGTCCTATTTTAGTACAGATACTACAGCATCACCCATAGAATATGCCTTACAATTTTTTTATATTTATTTTCTATATTTTATGAGTAATAAGCAAAAACTCATTTTTCATTTCCTTTGAAAAACAGAAGTATTCTTAGTTTACGTGGTACAATGGGCGTGTCTTTCAACCAATTTGGCCCATGTTCAATACCAACCTGTTCATGAGAACTTCCAATCGATAGCTCGATTTCAACGGCCAGGAGAATGTTTAAAATACACGTCACGTAGACGGACAAACGGACATGCTTAAGTCGATTCAGAATATGATGCTGATCGAGAATACTTTGTGATGCTTTTACCGGAACGTCGCAAACTTGTTAACACAATGAATATATCTCTCATCTTTTGATGATGGGTATAAAAAGAATGCAAAGCAGTAACTTATTGCTATTAGTTTCGTTTCTGCTTGCAGATGTGTTTTCTTGTGTTCCATATTGAAACTATGTTAAAGAAACACTTCAAATTTCCTGTAAGATAAAATTGAAAAATAAAAACTGAAACCATCCAAAAACATTGAACTTTTCATAAGTTTCTTTACGACTTGATGAGAAAACATTCAACGAAAACAACATGTACTGCAGTAACCGATCGCGGGCTATATTGCAGCGACCAAAGATACAGACCGGAAACGTATGTTAAACTTAGCGATTATACGTGTGAAACCAACGGCAAAGTTTATGTTCAATACTATTTTGCAACGTTTTTCTGCGTGTCTGTGGCTTTATTTTCCTCAGACCAATTTGCAATGCTTCAATTTCGAGAGAAAAAATTTTGGGGAGCTTTTAACGATTAACTAAATAGAACAAATATAAAATAAACTAAAACAAGTAAGAAGATCAAATTCGGTCGGAGTCGAAACTATTATACCCATCACCGTTTAGCCCAAAAGAAGACAAAAGAAGTAAAAGAACAAAATTCTCATGCTCTGTAATATGGAGTGGACGCTGTTGATTTCTTCTATTTTCAAATAAAAGTTTTTGTCGTAGAGTCATATGGGCGTTGTAGGCTTGTCCTTCGAAAAGTTTAGGTGAATTCCAAATTCTTTTTCAAATTTTTAGGTGATATCTTCATTTTCGCTGACGGAAGAATGTTTATCACAAATATTACAAAGTTGCGCAACCAGGCAGATGGACACACGAACAAGCGGACATGTTCACACACATTCAAGATTAGAAAAATGGCTACGAATTTGTATACTTTAAGGCGTGTTTGAAGGTTGTTTCTGCGTGTTATAAGAATATTGAAAACATAATTAAATTTTGATACACTATAATATTGGGTAGGCGTGGAAAATTTTTACATTTTTGCGCACAATTGCCACAGCATCGCCCATAGAATATGCGTTCAAATTTTTGTACATTTATCTGCTACAGTTTATGTGTAATGAGCACAAAACGAATTTTTCACTCCCTTTGAAGAACGAACGTATGCTCAGTTTACGTGGGCGTGTCCTTCGACCGGACGCATTTTCAAGATCAACCTACATAGAGGAACTTCTTAAGTTTCTGTCAATAGTCGATGTCTTCACTTTGGCAGCCAGGAGAATGTTTACAACACACATTACACAGCCGCACAACGAACAGAGGGAAATACATAAATCGATTTAGAATTTGATACTGATCAAGAAAATATATACTCTGAGGGACCACTGGTGGTTTCTTCTGGGCGTTGCAAACGTTTTTACAAAATGAACATACCTTTCATGGTTCGGTGACGAATATATCGTCTAAAAAATGCAAAAGCATTTGGAAGAGACTGAAACTTTCCAAGGACACATCTCCAATACTCACACGCCTATGCGGCAAAGACTTTTATTTCGAAAATAGGCAACATCGGTCACATCCATCGCATATTACAGAGCATGAAAATATCGATCTTTTACTTTTTTGGCCTCTTTTAGGATAACGACCGAATATAATTTTCTTATTTGCTGTAACTGGCTTTTGAATAAAAAAAAAAAACATAAAATCAATTATGTTTTTTCTTCTGTGTTTGGGATAAATTTCTTTAAAATTTCAATTATTCCGCTTTTAAACTTAAATTGATTAATTGTGTACAAATAATCGCGTTTAGTGAGGAAAAACTAACACAACAAGTGCTTCATAAAAAAAAAAAAAAAAATTAATAAAACCGCAAATGTACGTAACTGATGTTATTTAACAGTTTTAACAGTTGATTTGCTTAGAGATTCGCAAAAAGTCAATTATAAAAAACTATTTTTATAAGATTGCTACCGGAGAGCATATTAATTTTATAAAATCCAATGCAAGAATAGATGAGATACAGAAATAAGAATAATCTACCAGGCCAGGCCGCGGTATTTAACCAACTCTTGAGTTCATAATATGCAGGCAAAGTATCTCGACTAATAGGTAACAACTCAATGGTCCTGGACTCGAAGCTCAAGTGCGGTTGTAGTGTTTTCAATAAGGCCGACAGCCTTTATTTTTCTGACTAAATTCATTGTAATATTAATAATAATGAAAATAATAATGTAATGTAAACTTATGAACATCTCTTAAGACATTCGTCACAAGGACGCATACCAAAAGCACTTGCGAAGGCCTGATATATCCTATAATGGAAAAAGTTTAATGCAAACAATAAATAGTGGATTTTTTAAATGTTTGGCAACTTGTAAAAATACAGATTAAAGATCACATTTAAATGTATGCGTATGTATCAAATCGCTCAATAAGACTCCGATCTGAGACAAGTATGATTTGTATGATATGTGGATGAAGTCAACGTTCAGAGGAAATGCGTCAAAATTTCATTAGGTTCCCACCATTAGTTTACAAGTTGTTGACGTTTTAGTGAGGCAACTGTTTTGGTCGCTTTGGATGGCTTTTGCCGATTGCCGTCCACTCGGCTGATTGCCGATTTGATTCTGAAATGTATTTTTATTCCGCCTAATGAACGCCAAAGAGCCCGTGTGCGGAAGTAGTTGTCTTGCACATTCTTATTGCTATCGAGTGAAAAGTGTCTCGATTATACAGTTGCTATCGAGCTTCGTATTCAGTGGGAGAAGTAAGGAACAATATTGTCACAAAATGCTTGAATAGGTTTGATACAATTAATAGTTATATATAGAAATAGTCCAAGCTTATCAATGACGGAAATTCCAAAATTTTGGCAGCAGCAAATTATTATTTTCGATGCTTTATGTGTATGGTGGCATACACAAATTTATTTATTTGAATTATTGTTTTACTTATTTATTTATTTTTTTTTCTTCTTGTTCGCGTTTAGTTGCACGTATATTGCTATAACACATACTAATGATATCATTAATGTTTTATTGTTTATGTCAAGAATTCGACAGCGGTCGAGTTAATCAAACTCACAAAATCACTATCGAGAATGACTCTCGAATCGAGTATGCATTCAATATCGAGTCCCGTAAACTGACTGCAAATTTCTTTTTTCACATAAACTAAATATTTAATATAACACGATCGTGAATCGTCACGCGATTGGCTCAAAAATAGAAAGGAACAATGTAAAAGATAACATTCTGAAATTTGTAAAATGATTTGCGAAAGCCATTTAATAAAATATCTGTTCAAAAGTCATTCCCAATTTCGGTTTTTATAGGAAGCGATCGAATTAATTGTTGCAGGTCTTTAGTGGGACATTAAATCATACGTTTTGAATATTTTTTCATAATTCTTTTCCTTCTTATTGTTATAGGGAATATAACGCTGTAGTCTCCCTCAAATATTCTCAACAGGATTTAGGCTGGGAGAATGGCTTGGCCATTCAATGACATACAAGATATGATCCGGGAATCGTGCTTTCACCAATTTGAGTGAATCTTTCGGATCATTATTCTGCTGACATCAATCCCCAGCAGGGGCATATTTTCTGCGACGTAAGGTAACATAGCCGTTTCCAACGAATTTCTACACACAAACCAATCAATAGTATTTTCGCTGAGATATATTGGACCGATGCTCTTCTTAGATTTTCTAAGCGATGCTTTCCAACTTGTTCAGTAAATCTAATGTGAAATGCTTTTCCTTTTGATCGAAGTAGACTTCTTTCTTCTTTGAAAGTTTCATTATATGATTTTATTTATGAAAAATTTTCTGTTTCCTGTCTACAATAATACTTTACCCTTTATCCTTTACACTTTACAGTTAATTAATTGGTCATGATTTGAAAACAATTCTTCGATCCTAAATATTTTCTATAACTAAATGTAACTTTTTGCGAAAACATTTTTAATTCTTCAGCTAAAACATGTAAGTCATAGTTGCTTGACAAGCCTCTGTATCAAGTTCAGTAATATGCATATGTATGATTAAATCTATGAACATTTTTATTGGGCATGAATAAACAATTCAAATACGAATTCCGTTTAAGCCAAATAAGTTGATGATGATGATTTGTGACTAATTAAGAATTAAATGAGAATTTTTGTTCTTTTTTGTTTTTGTTTTGTTTTTTTTTTTTTTTTTTTCCCTTCTTTCATAGAAGCATCGGATATTAGTTTGTATAAGAAATGAGCAATCAGCGCCATGAAGTCAAATCTATTTATTATAAAGCAGTAGGTGTTTGAACTATTTTGGAAATGAAGAAACCGGTTAAATTTATTTTACATGAATTTTTTAAATTTCATTTTTGAATTT